ACGCTGCCGGCAGAGTTCCAGCCCATAATTGGGCTTACACTCTTCAACGCGCTTCCGACGGTGAAGCACTATAGGGTTGGCCCTAGTGTGTACGTCACGTTGATCAAGGACATGATGAAGACACCCAGTGGCCAAGTGGTAACGCGGTTCCGCACTAACCTCCATTGGATCAAGACCCCTGCTGGCTGGCGCATCAAGGATAAGATCTATGCAACACTCCCATGAGCTCCAGATGTTCCCAATGAAACTCATGAAGACTCGCCATTTCGTGCGAAGGTCTTGGACAAAATGGGCCGAACCAGCGAGAATGCGCTGTTCTGCGTGCTGAAGGCCTCACCCACCAATGAGTCGCTCTTTTCCATCTCCTTGTGTTTAAGGTCCTGCAACCGATGGACGAACTGCCCCAAGCCTCAGATGAGTCGATTTGCACAGAGAAGACTCATTTCTTCTCGTTGCATGGAGAAAACTCGCACCCCTTTCAAAGCAAATTCGGAGAATTCGAACGAAGTGTTGGAGGTTGGAACCTCTAGGGTTAGTAGGAAGAGTTCAGGTTTAGTTATTACTGTAGGGAACCTTTCAGGCTTAGTTCAGGGTTCGGAAGAGTTCAGGGAACCTTTCTAGTAGGGTTATAGTTCCTACTGTAAGAAGACTTCAGCTTCACAGGCAGATTGGAGCTTTATTGTCAATCTCTCTTGGTGTTTGAAGGCTGACTTGATTGAGACTCCCGCTGAAACTGGACGAACATCGGACATCAGCCAGATTATCGTTCTTCCTGAACATGAGCCACATATTTGGCGGACCACATTGTCAAATTGGTTTGTTTTGTCATGCGTGTCATCATTTTTTTCTGTTTGACAATGCTATTAGTTTCTGTAAGCGTATACTTAGGAAGAAACAACATCCTGTTCACCAATAACTTTCCCATACTTCCCCTATTGAAAGATAACAATTCAGGGGTATTGTTGCTAATAGCGCAAAAGGAAGCACATCGGGTTGTTTATCGTGATATTTTCTACAACAGGACGCAGACCAACATGCAAACATAATTTCTATTTTATAATGAACAAATACAACAATCATATCGTATAGTGTTTGATTCTAGCATGAAACAAATGATGGAGAGACCACACCATGTTTGAAAAAAGCAATGATCAACAATTAGTTCAACATTTGTCATGTTTTGCACATCGTATCTCCTTCACAATACTTTATTCCCTATAGTGGAGCGCTCAGGCCTGCATGGATTTTAGTGCCACCAGGTCATCCGTTGTTTGTTCTACTGCCTGTCTTGTCTTGTATCAGCACTGGTAATCGATCCAAGCTTGCGGTCACAGACCGTCAAAGCATGAACGTCAACCGAAGTTGTATACGGTATTGAGATCTTTCAGAGATGCTCTTCCAGCACACAGAAGAACTTAGCAGAACAGCGCACGCTATTTCCGGCGCAGTCTGCCCAGGTCAAGGAGAGTGGACGAGTGGAGTTCCGCTCGCTCCTGAGACGTGAGCAGCGTCCCCCACTGCAACCAGGTTTTGGAAACAGCTCAAGTGCTTTTGCTTCTGAACTGCGGGAGTTCCGTCTTTGCCAGTCTTGCGGGTTCGCCAAATAGCAAGCCTATGGTTTGAAGTTCAACACTGCTAGTTATTTCAGTTCCAATGCCTAACCTGTTCCATCGCAAGAGATGGATGTCAGATGGAGAGATGACTGGCCAAGATTGTAACATGACTGGCCAAGATGCCGAATTCATGGGCTAAGTTGCGATTGGCCGGGCTGAGAAAAAACGAAGCAGGTCGATATCACAGACTGAGCCGAGGCCATGAATCGGACAGTAGAAGACGCCGAGGCCGGCCATGAGCCATGAGCCTTGTGAGGTGCTGTTGTCGCCATCAGAATCGTCCAATCGACCAAGCTTACAAACCTCAGTGAGGTTTTTTTCTTCTTGGGGAATATGTTTTGGCCTCCCAAGTCAGAATGTGTTTGCGATGAACAGAAAACCCAACAATAAGAGAAGGAAGCAACATACATGTCATGTATACATGAAGCGTAACATTAAAGTTCATCCATTATAAAGTCTTTGGTTTCTTTCCTCATGTTCTTCCGCAAAAGACCAAAGCCATGTTTTCCTCTCTGAAGAGCGAAGTCGGTGCCCAGGTCGGTCGTGACGGAAGAACCAGGATGCGAAGTCGGCAGGCTCGAAAACGCGATGAGAGAACCTCTCCGTTCGAAAACGTGGTGGAACTCGGAACTCTTTGTTGAAACGATTTGTGAAATTGGAAGGGAAGCTGCTGTTTTCTGAGGCAGAAATCCTCTTTGAAATAGATGTCGTCAGCATTTGACCAGGTCGACGGCGGCCGCTTTCGCGGTTCGGACGCTGAGCGCCTCTCGAGGCGCCGTGAACCGTCCGACTGGGACGGTTTGGGACGTGGACTCCGCGGAAGACGAAACGTGAGAATGAAGAAATGGACACGTGAAGGACAAAGAATCTGAACATGGTAGGTCAATTATGGTGTAGTTACTGGGTAAATTACCATGGACCAGTTTGCAATACATGGTAAGTATCGTTTTAGAAAAGGATAAAGAACAGCACGACACATCGCATCGACCGTGAACTGATCGCATCGCATCGACACTTCCGGGGTGCCGGGTCGTTTCAGAAACGTGGGCCTCGAGGGCCTCCGCCGGTGTTTCCGGAGGCGTCCCGTTGAACGTCCCGTGTTCCGGGTTTTTTGTTGGATGTAAAGCTGCTTGGGTTCCAGTCTGATGTGTTGTTTTTTTAAACATATTTTGGAGGATCAGCTATCCAAAAGACGGCCAAACTTCCTCCTATCAAGACAGAGGTCACTTAGTAAGGCTATAAGGTCGACTTACCAGGATCGTCTGGGTGTCCTGGCTAGACTACCGTATACCCTACATCAACAGGTCTGACGGTTTAGTCACCCGTTGAGTACGGCTATAGTCTTGACGGTTTGGTTTGGCCTCAAGTGCTTCTGAATTGGCCGACTGCGGGCCGACAGGTCGACGTCGCGACTGTCGGACAGCGCGGACCGCGTCACGTCGTCTGAGCGTCGTGAAGGGAGACTTAGGAACTTCGTCGAGTGAAGTAGAAGTTGGATGAAGTTTTGGCAATCAGGCCCTATGTTTATTAGTACCGAACCTCAGAAGGTACGACTGGACCCTCCTGGCTGGCACCTAACAGTGCCTCCGTCCTCACCTTCTCACCGAGGATCGTCCAGTTTTCGAAGTGCTGTTCCCGGTCCACTGGACCGGGACCGGGTGTCCGCGCCGGTTCCGAACCCCAAGCACGACAACAGACCAGCGAAACGCTGTTTTGTGTTGCAGAAAGAGGATGGGAGAAGGTGTATCCATCCAGCGAACATGCAATTCGATGAACACCCGTGTTTTCATGCTGCAATTCTTTCACAGATCTCAACCTCCAGATCTTTCAGCACACGAACGTCGCCATTCTCAGTGCCATGGACATGGTGCTGTTGTGGCGGCTCTTTTTGACCTTCTTTGTTGGGCAAGCCCAGGAAGAACCTCCTTGTGTGGATCTACTTCAGCATCAGCTTCACTTGGAGAATGCTTCCATGATGGCCATCGACACCGGCCATGTGGCACAGCAGGCCCCGGCGGGGCCACTGGTGCCCGTGGCGCCGGCACCGCCACCGGTTCCAGCACTCACAAATCCGGGGTTGAAAGCCAATGTGGTCAGCTACCAGCTGTGGCAAGCAAAGACCCAGATCCCTGGCGAGATCAGTATGTGTTCAGGAGATTTTGTAGACAGGTGATGGTGTTTTGTCGGGATCTTTTCGGGTGATGGTGATAGATTTCTGGTTTGCAGGTTCCCATTTGGTTCAACACCCATCCAAGGATCAATCTGAATGTGCAGAACAACATCAATGAAGCGCCGCCAAAGGAGCCTTCTTGGGAAGATGGAGACAAGTGGGCCAACGCCATCGGCGCATCTCAAGGACTTGCTCAAAGCATTCAAAGCTGCGCGGCGACCTCCTCGACCGCAACGCCCGGCTGGACCGGCTCGTGTATTAACACTATCGGAAATAATGCTCTTCAGGTGACCAGCCAGGTGGGCGGAGCTGGAGGAATGCCACATGTGGCGGCGTTCGTGACAAAGCGTTGGGTGTTTTGATTTGCCACATGGTGTTGGTGGTCGGGGTGGCGGTGGTGGTGGTGATGTCAGGTGGTGTGGAACTGGGCACGGTGACGACCGGACCTTCTTTTACGGATCCAAACGCCTCGAATCGCCTCGGATCCAGGTGATGATGCTTGCAGACGTCTGTATACCGGAAGGTATCGTAGCCGCCGGGGTGGGCGAGATGGTGATCTCGCTTCTCTTCGGCGGCAGCAGCAGCAGCAGCAGTCCGAGTCCCCCCCCAATGAATGCTCAACAATTGGTGGACGCCGTTGAGCTTGGAACTTTGTCGACGACCTGTACGTTAATGTCGAATTCTGTGCAGGATGTGGGCAGCCCAGTTGTTGGAGCCCAAAACACAGAATTCGATCCACGAATTGTGCGAAGCATTTGGAAGAATCATATCTTCGTTTTGGGATATTCACGACTTGTTGGTGATTTGAAACACTGCCTATCAGGTCATTGCTAGCTTGCAGACAATCCTCTCTGCCACATCGCAAAACTATTGGTCGGTGTCAAATTGGGATACTTGGACTGGATCATCTCCTCAATCGATCCTCTATGCTCAACAGCAGTTGCTTACGTATCATGGCTTTGCTTTGCATGTTACTTTTTTTCATTTTGCTCGTGATTTTTCCGGGATCTTGGGTGGCTCCGGGATCTTTTTGTCGTGGACATGTTGGTTCCTTTCAGCTGCCTGGAAGCAGAACCCAGGTTTGCACAAGATTGCATTCAGACCTATGCGCAAACCACCTTTTTGAAGAGTACGAGTGACTTCGTTGGATCCTTTAGCCCTCAGTGCAAGAGCACGTGCGGCACGGAGGATGCGTACAATCAACATTATACGGCTTGCAGCGGGGGTGCACAGCAACTTAACCAATGGCTAACGACTTGGGAATCCTGGGATTGTACTTGAGTAACGATTGTTGTGATGGGACATGCTCTTTATATCTCTTTATTAAAGTTTTTTGTTTTGGGGAAGATCTTCGTCCAGGTTCGAACACGTGGACCATCCAAGGACGCGAATGTGCAGTTGTTTCTGAATGCAACCTCACTTTTTGGCGCCGCGCGCTCCGCTGTCCAAGCTATAGCAAGAGCCAATGTCCTGGACTACACTCTGTCGGAAGTGAATACTTACAAAAACTTTATCGCAAGCACTCAGTCGCTCACACCATGGGTGCTTTTGCTTACGAAGCTTCAACATGACATGTGTGACCATTGCTATGGGAGCCAGCAGTGGCCAATCATCAAGTGCAGTGGGAGTGGCAGCCAAGAACAAAGAGAAAAGATGATCACCTTGATGGGGCAAATGGTCACAAACACGTTGAAGGGATTTGACGATATGGGTCTTACTACAAGCGTGGACACAAGTTGGGTTGACTTGCCGTGCAAATCTTGTCCTCCAGGCTGGATTCCTGTCGGAAAATGTGAACAAACAAATCCCGGTGCGGCTTGGTTCGATGGTGGAACCCAGAGCTGTGTGTCTAGCTGTGGATGCATGGAACACGTCAACAAAGGTTGCTACAAGGTTTTTGCAGATTTGGCAAACCAAAACCCCTGGCCCCTCCCCCCACTGCCGTCACCTCCAGCCACCGGGCCGCCGATCAGAATCAATGTGACCATGATCCAACACAACGGCCTGTGTGTGCATCATACTTCGAAGGCCCTTCTTCACTCGTGCAGCTCCTCATCAGACAAGAAGCTCTTTGCGGTGATGTCCCAGAACTTCCTCTTCCCGGACCCCAGTTCCAGCACACCGATCTCTTCCACGTCAGAGCCTTATTGCTTCTTTGCAAAGGAGGGGGCCCTCGACATTGGCACAGGCAGCGACTGCCAAAGCGGTTGGCAGTTCCAACATGTGGCAGCGAATGGCGCAGGATCTCCACCCGGCACTTGGCCTGTGCAGATTGTCGCCAATGGTTTGTGTTGGACGGTGTCCGGCTCATCACTTGTACTATCCAAGTGTGCACAGGCCAGCGCTCAGCAGACTTTTGTACTCGTTCAGCCTTAGATGGCCGATCTTTTCACATCTTTTCACATCTGTTCGAAAAGGACAGAGTTATCAGAGTTCTACCCACAGTTTGCTCGGTAATAAAAGACACCGATGTTGGAGCGAGTTGGTGGGTATGGCGTGGTCGGGAGCTGCCACGACGGTGGAACTCTGGCTTCCACACCAGCAGTCACCATTCTCGGGGAATTGGATGTGGATATTATATATATATAATATATAATACGATAAATATCCTCAGTTGGTCGCGTGAACGCAGAAAACACATGTGAAGATGGTGCCATGTGTTTGTTCGAAATTCACGCTTTTCGGACAGACAGCGCCCAGGTTGTCTTCCCTCGTCCGCTCTCCAGCGACACGGTGCCGGGATGATCCTCTCGACTTCGGCATCCGAGCGGGCAGACTTGGTCGGGGGCGTGCGGCAGTTGGATCCGTCCGATGTGGATCGAAATCAGTCCTCGACTTCTGGATCACACGGATGTACCGTGGTATACTTTGAAAGATGGGAGTACCCAGACACGAGTCTGCGACTGCCGGACTGCCCCAGAAAGACCACCCCGGTCGGCCGTTTCTCGGCAGTCCTATGGCAGTCCCATGGAGTGTTTGGGATAGATCGATGGTTATAGATGGTACAGTATGGCAAATTTAGGATTTGTCCAGAGAGATCAGTGCTGTCAACCGTGCTCCAACGTACTGGTCGACACTTCGTCGTTTCTTTTTTGTCGAAGAGGGCTGCGTCGAAGAACTGGGCCATACGGGTTGTTGATGCATACGGGGGACCTCCAAGTCGGCAGCGAATTTGGGATGTGTCTTTGGAAGCTTGGATTTTCCATCTGACATGTAGTGCCTTTTCATCCATACATACCAGCCATGTTAGGCTGAAATTTGGAAGATGCTTGTTTGTTCTATAATTATATATTCTATATGGTTTCAGACACGCACTCCTTCAATGGTTGGATTCTCTTGTTGTGTGCAACACCTCCCACGCTGTCCCACGCTCGTTTGACCTGCAACTGCTTCGCAATATCACTGTTGGCTGAGACTTCCCTTTGACGCGTTGTTCGTGCATAGCAAGATCGGACCTCATCGCGCAGCATGGTGCAAACGCGGCAGGAAATGATCGAGGCTGGTCCTGTTGGTGAGCATTTGTTGTTATTTTGCTTTTT